GCTCTTGACAAATCCACTGCTGAACATAGGCCCCCTCAAGGAATTCTACAAAGCATGGTCATGAGCCACCTGCATCCATCGACTTCCTGCATGTATTCGTCACTCCATCTAGTGGGGGGTTGCTCTACGCTACGCCCACCGGTACGAGGCTGCCACTCGTGAGTCTCTTTTCCCCATCGGTTGTCGATTCTTCGAGCTATATGGCCGGCCCATTGCCACTTCAGCTTACTAATCCGTTGGGCTATTTTGGTCACTCTGGTTCTACTGCGGATATCCTCATTTCTAAGTTTATCACGCAGAGAAACCCCGAGAATAGCCCTCTCTATAGCTCGTGAGCTGACAGAGACAAATTTTTTTAAATTGTGTTTTTTTTATAAGTACCGTAAGTACTTTTTCAGTAAAAAACTGTTATATTGACTTTACAAACATACACTTAAATTTTATTTATTTGTATAGATACGTCTTTATTGCATATAAACATAAAATTGATACAATAATGAAAAAAAATATGAATCACAAACGGTGGTCATATCGCTATAAGCGATTCATACCTGACAAACTGAACGTAAGAGGACATTTTATTTTTATATTTTGATGGATAGGTGCAACGTGCTTTATAAAATAAACTGAAGAAAAAAGATATCATTAAATATGGGGGAGAAGATTATTTTTTTTTTTTTTTTTTATTTTTTATTAATCTTGGGGGCGGTTCCTCCCCCTCTTTTTGTTGTGTGTCTTTTTTTTTTTTTTTTTTTTTTTTTTTTTTTTTAGACGTTTTTTTTTTTTTTTTTTTTTTCTTTTATTTTTTTTTTTTTTGGGGTGGAAGACAAAAAATATTAAAAAAAACCCATCTCCATTTTTTTTTTTTAATAGAGGGGGGGGGTTTTTTTCCCCTAGTTTTTATTTAACTAAATAGTTACATTAAATACTTCACTCCCTTTTTTATGGGATGGGATTTATTCTCCAAATCGAGTCAGCCCTAAAGTGTAACCTATTTCTTAAAAAAAAACATTCAAGTTAGTGCACAATTGACGTATCAAGTATCAAATACACGAATAAATAAAATAACACTCGAATAGACTCCTTTTTTTGAGTCGGCTGTAGAAATATAGCAAAATGAAATTTTATATTCAAAATTATGACGAAATGAAAAAAAATATTCAATGTGTAGTATCTAAATTCGAAAAATGAGCCCTAAATGTTGCCTGGGTTTATAAAAACATATATTGTCCTGTTTGCTTTAAATAAAGAATGTATTTCATTGTTAGGTACATCTATAAATAAAGGATTTTCTATTTAAAATGCTAGCATTCAGAACAACATATATGTTTTTAAAATATTTTTGTGTGTAATGTGTAATCATTAATTAAATCCGCTGATGATTTACCGAACTGAAGTCTTTCACTGCTGATCGAATCAGAAAGCTCAATAACCCAATAATAATTAAATAATATAGTTATAATTCTTTATTATTAAATTAATATAATTAGTAATAATAGAATCTTCTTTCATATCAATTTATCTTTTTCTTTTCAATATCATTGGGCTTGGAGTTGCAATCTGAGAATAAAATAATTCCAAATGTTCTTGAATAGTTCTCCTCACTTGTATCATTGAATCTCTCACTGCCATGTAGAGCGATTTCTCTAACTATTCAAACAATACAACGTAATCTCGCAGGAATTTTATCCCTATAAGTATTTGAGAACCTTAATAGGACACTTTTCAGTCATAAACCTACCCGTGTATTCCTCACAATATATTATCAAATTCTCACAGTTTGAAATTTGTACAACCCCTTCATCCGCTCTAAGGGCAACCCTGTCAACATCATTGAAGAGAAAGCTCATGTCATGAGGTTGTTCCCCAATATATCCTAAAGTAAAACAATACCAAAAACAAATTAGCAATTAACTGTAATATGCACCAGCTATGTTTGACTTTTTATAAACTCTTCTGTAATAAAACAATAATTAAATAATTATAACTACTTACGATAGAAGTAACCACAACTTATCCCTAGGAATGAGGTGGTAGCTTCTATTGTAAGTAGTTTGTAAAAACTTTTTTTATAGACTTTTACTTCAAAGAAAAAAAGTTCCGCTGGGTTTCTTGATGTTTCTTCCCAGGATAGAGGTTTATTTCCGAACAAGTATTAAAAGTAAAAAATATGGCTTTCAATAAGAATTACTTTTAATCTATATTGAATAATAATATTCTATTTAAAGTCACTCAGAATGCGATGATAAGAGCTATGCTCCGAATTATTTGTGGGATAAAGTCCATAGCAAAAATTACTGACATAGCCCAGCGGATAAGTACCGACAACTGATGGCGAAGAAAGTTTCTCGAGTGGCAATCTCGTTATAAGACCAGTGTTCGAAGACCTCTAGATGTAGTGACGGTAAAACAAGTTGGTGAAACAACAATAACATCAATGGTGCAGGTGGCTCAGGATCGTACTTTGATGCAGTCTATGGAGGCCTATGTGCAGAAAATAATGTGGGCGACTTTAAGCTACGACTGAATTGGCTTTTGTTACACTAAGACAGTACCATTTATTATCTAGGGCTTCGTCAGCACTTACCACCAGGCGGATTCGTGGTTAATGACTGGCTTATAATAAGTTAAAAAAACCACACCTATTACACTCTTTTAAAGCTTGCTACCGTTTCCATATTGGTACGAAAATAGAACGATATTTCTTACAATTACCTAATAAAGTAACATAATTATTTCATAAAAACGTAGCTTGAGGTTTTTAACAGCAATAAAAATTACACTTAATTATAATTAATGTTAACTTAATTATTTTTAGGCAAACTTTGCATGAATTGTTCGTGGGACGAACAGTTCACGCGGTAACTTTAGCTGGAACATGACCCAGGGACTAATTAGTTGTAACTCGGTCACGCTAGGACCTTCGCGGTACATCCTGGCTTAATGAAGGCCTTAAACTTTATTGAACGTGGCTCGAAGTCTTGCTTAGTTCAATGAACTTGTTCATTACTAAGTATTCTTTAAGGAAGAGGAACTTGCTGCTGCATTGTTCCTTACTTTTATTTATTCCCCTGCCTGACTGCGACTTTACTATAATATTACTATATTAGTAGTGTAGTTTGTGTGTCAATTCAAAAATAAGACAAACATTTGATCGTTTTCGAACTACGTTTTCGAGAATTTGCTCAGTAATTCCATAACCTTATTCCTCCCTCTCCTTTCCACCATTGCATCAATCAGAACGAACAAACTATTTAAATTTACAGTATGCCAGTTCAACCCCTTTGTTTGACTTACCACGTATTCGACGAGCATAAGAGCATAAGATGTTGTTAAGTCGGCGCGCTTTATCATCGTTGGCTGCGTCACTAGTTATGATAAGAGGAATAGTATTCAAGCATTGATTTGGAATAGTTAAAAAAAATAAGGTTAATATTTATTTTACGCTAATGTGAAGATGGAAAATCCAATTTGCTTGCAACTTTCTTGTTTGGACCGGCATATCAAAAGGGCGTGAATAACACGAATACAAAATAAAATGGGGGAGATTTTTGGCAGGAACTTAACCGTTGGTAGGTTGCTGACTATTCTGTCTGCTCCTATTCTATTGTTTGAATAATGGTTTGTAGTGGGTTTTAATAGCTAACAGTGGTGCAATTTTGTGTATTAAAAGTCAACGTACGTGAATTATTCGCGGGAACGATGAAACAAGTGCTCCGTTGGCGATTGTGTGTGCAATACCTTTTGGATTTATTGGCGCCATAAGTAACTATCGACATTAACATCTGCTGGCTCGGGCACATGGCAAACTTCGCAGTGTGACGCGTTAAAATACTGTAAAGAAAATTGTGAAACAAATCATATTCTAGGATAATTTCTTATTGTTTTACACTGGCAAAGGTACAACAATGCGTGCGATTACCATAAAAATAAATATCTATATACTTTTTTATAGAATAAGGTTGACAATTGGGCACACAGTCCACTTGATGGTAAGTGTATGCTGTGGCCCATAGACGTCTAAATTTAAAAGTTAAAGTTACAGCCTATATACGTCCTACTGCTGGATACAGGCCTGATCCAAGAGTAAGTTTTCCATCTTTTTGTAAAGTTTAATAACAATCGTTTTAGGCATTTTGAAGATTTAGCCCAAACAAATAAACAGACATACAATATATTTAAAAAACTTATTCATGTTTTATTGGCATGCAAATTTGCAAACCTTAGTTTAATAAAATGCAGTTATTTTGATATTCTAGAACTTCAATTAAATTTATAATATGTATATAGATTCTATTATTGTACGAAATTAAGCAAACTTATACAACACGCTGCATGATTTGTGCAATTTTGATAAATGTTTCGGAATATACTATTCATCTTCAGCCGCTTCAGCGCTCAGCGATGTTTGAATCTGGAAATAATAACCAATTGTTTCTAGATTTTCCAGAAGCTTTGCAAACAATCTGCATAATGCTCTACACAAATGTTCTACAATGGAACATTTGTATTGAAATAAAATTTGATATTTAAAATAGCCGTTCCCAGCGACTACGTCCGCGTGGAATTTATTATTATTTAATTTGTTTTAATTTATTTAACGAAATCCTAATTATTTTCCTAAAATAAAAGTAGGCTAAGTCAAAGTCGGGCAAGTCATTTCGGAGATTAGCCGAAACAAACAAACAGACAGACATAATAAAAAAAATTTATAAGTGCATTACATACTTTCATATGTATTTGTTGAAAAATTGTTGTTTTCACATTAAAATCAAACACTTCAATTTTATTTATGTGTATAGATTTAAAATCAAATTCATTAAAGTTAAATTAAAAATTTAAATTAATTAACATTAAATTTTCTTATTTATTTTAATACATTTTCTTTCAATTAATAATATTTATAATTATTTTATACATAACGTTTATATTATTCTCATTTTTGCCCGACTGCCATAGAAGGAGGGTAATTACATTAATAATAAAGTAAATTCGACTGTATGTATGTATGTGTCTTACATTATTATGTATCCATACATGTATGTCTATTTCTTTGCAACACTCGGAAACCTAAACAGATTGATGGGTTTTAACACCTTATTTGTGGATATGACATATGGGTTAAAAAATTCTCCTTTTAGTACACTTTTTCACGTTTAGTACTGTTTGATGATGACGAACGTCAATTTGTCGTAAACAAACGACTCGCGACTGCGACGCGAATTGGAACATCTTCAAGAAATCACAAGCGACCACAAGCGCAAACTTTATATAACGCTGTATATTTGCCCTGCATTGTTACTTTAGCTTACTGATCCATTGATGAGGTATAAGTAGAATTAATCAACTTCTATATAAATCTTTATTTGTTCCAGTCGGCTCGCATGAGCAACGCTAGTAGCGATGCTTGTGAACGACGGGATCCCTGTCAGCATGGGGGAGTTTGCATCAGCACAGACAACGGTCCGGTCTGCGAGTGTCGAGACGGTGATTATGAGGGGGCATTCTGCGAAAGAGGTAAATTTTTTTTTCTTTTAACACGCGCAATATTTAATATTTTGGTCATCGGAGAAAAAGGTGAGATCTCCCGTTGGGCAAGGTGTTAGTGTAGTAGGGAAGAAGCTTGATTTATTTGTGCAGAGTCATTTAGAAATTCCGACAGCGTGATTCAGACTATGATTGTTGATCAGTCCACATACATTTGTAGTAATATGTATTCATTACATGTACTACATACACTTCTACTACACTTATATATACTACTACTACACTTATAAGCACTACTACCACACACTTACTAGATACACCTAAATTTGAAAAAAAAAATTGTACGCCAGGTGGACTGGTCTGATTGGGATAAATTGTTTATTCTAGAAGTTTGTCTTAATAAATGGGTGGTCCATTTATCAAGACGAACTTCTAGAAAAAACAGGGCGTACCAAGTACCAAGTACCAAGAAGTATTTTATTTCTGTAAACTTTTGAGGGTTTTTCTTCCCGTAAGATGTCTCAAATTTTTATGTCATGTGCTTTAATCAATTATCATAAATTACACATAAAAACCAACCATGTATTTGAAATAAATAATACATTATATTATAATAAATTTATGTCATTAAAATAATTTCTAAAAATCTGTGAAATTTCTAACGTATTTAACAGGATGATCGCGTGCAAAAGAGACGTTACTCATGGGATCTACTGCTATTAGCTAGCGTCTGTTGCAGCGTCTTACTTAAAAGCTACCTATAAAGCTGCTTAAGTATACTTGCTAAGCTTTTTGTTTGAGCTATATACTTCTACTTGAGTCTGTTAAGTGCCTATGTCACGGATGCCTGATTCTTATATTTGAGAAACGTATCGCTCTGTATTCGATTGCAAAGTTCGTATGGCAAATTACGAAGACCTAAAATAAAATGAGTCGTTATATGTTATTGAATTGAGCAGCATAAGAGAATTCATTACTTCATGTCATCCAGTGGGTGTCGAGAGAGGTGAAAACGTAAGCAGGAGCTGAACAGCAGCATCTTCGTGATAAAAGATCAATGAAAAAATGCGGTTGTCAACCTACCAGGCGTGGCAACGGTGACAAATATCTGTGAGGCAATTTATAGAGGAAACTTTATTCACCGATAGATTCATTACAGTATGAATGAAAGTTGTAGTATATTTTTTAATACACTTTCTGTTATTTAGGATAAGTCGGAATAGAAATACGTAACGTTTTTTAATACCTATACAAATTAGGGATAAGAAACGAAGATTTTGAAATCTTTCGTTTTAATAGTGAGTTATTTTATTATTACGTGCCACAACCAATGCTCGGTATATGGCGGGTGATTATTAGTGCCATCTAGTATCAAGTAGCAGAAATAGGAGCTTCAAGATCTTTCTAGAACTTTCCCACTAGCGCCATCTAGTGTCGAGTGGCGAGGGATTTCTGGAGGATTCTTTGCTAGAACTTTCAACATTCTACTCGAACATTCTAGATGTTTTCGGTGGAAACGGTCCTATATAAAGTCGGTTAGGAGCGTGACCGGGACAGTATTGAATTAGCGATACAAGTGAAGAGCAAAATAAAGTGACCTAAAGTGTTAAGTGAGGTTATATATTAGTGTGTTTAAGTTTTAATTCGTGTTCAGTAATTAAAGTGTCATTTTTGGTAATTCAATCAGCAGTTTTTATTGTAATGAACCCTGCGCTCGTAACATTTTAAATAAATTGCTAATAAGTCTATTTGAAGCTATTAACTCAAAGATTTCTCGATTCAACACGAAGAAGCTGTAGTCCGATAGCTTTCTAATAACGTCAATATATTGCGAAAATGTATGTATATAGAATAAGGGTGACAAATGAGCACACAGTCCACCTTATGGTAAGTCCGCTGTGGTCCAGACATCTACATTTATTCTCAATTAATAATAAAAAGCAGATGCGTTGTCACCCCTGAGGACTAAGATGGGATGCCTCTTTTCTAGTAAAAAATCCCCAGTCGAGCAGACCTATTCGAGCTACAACCATAATATAGTTGCAGCGTGACTCTGTCACGTATAAAATCAATATATAAAATAATAAAAATACGATTTGAATAAAGGTGACAAATGAGCACACAATCCATCGGATAGGTTTTGTATTCTAGTTCTATACTCAGATAGCCATCGTACCCCTACTGTACAAACACCTCAGCACCTCGATATACATGAAAAATATATAATATAAGACATGTAGGGAGTAGACCGTACCAAGTGTACTATGTGATTAAAAGTAAGGTGACTTTTAATTTTTATCAAAAATATTTATTTATTAATCAATCTTGTTATTTTTTTTAAATTAACCCCCCCTCGTACTCGAACTAGTGAGTGTAAGCCACGAAATAATAAGTTTATTTATAAATTTTAATGATCGATCAAATAAGGCAGACGCTAGAGGGTGGATTGCTGCCCTCTTGAGACTGTCATTTTATTCTTACACATCTAAAATGACACGCAGTTTTGACAGTTACTGAGATTGAACCTGTGCGATGGTGACGCAAAACTTTTTAATGTGTTCGAAAATGGGGAAATTATTCATAATTTTATTCAAAATAAATCTATCTTATTATATAAAAATCCTGCGTCACGATGTTCGTTTATGTTAATCTCCGAAACCGCTCAACTAATTTGAATGAAATTTTTTAAATGTGTATTGCTTGCTCCAACTTGAGATATAGGATAGTTTTTATTGCGATAAGTGACCTTCAATATTTTTAAGATTTTTTTTAAAGGTCAAAGTTCTTTTTAAAGGACAGAACAAAGTCTGCTGGTATTGTTATAAAACATATTATTTCTTATGCCGTTAATGTTACAGGCTCATCAAAATGCACTTCTATATATAGAGATACAGATATTCTTTAGAGTTAATGGTTCATTATTTTTTAAATGGAAAGTTAGCACCGATAACGACGCGGGCGCAATACAGAATTAATATTTATCAGAGCTCCGCAGAAAATCAGCGCTACTGCAGTACCTGCGGTAGTACATGCTGAGACGAAATCTTTTTGGCATCACATCACTCACTCCTGCCGAGATTTATTTCTAATTATGTTTACCATCATGTACCTTGGGTGTTTTTATGTTCTTACTACATTTAGAAGTAATCTTCTAAATGTATATTTTGTGTGTGTATTGATACTATTAAAACCTATGTCTATGTCTATGTCTATATCGGCCTTCCCCATAGATTCCCCTTTCAACAGTTGCACGAATAGGAGGCGGGTTGGCAAACGCAGGTTATTTTAACGTTTTTAGTTTTTAGTAAGGAAACAAGCCCTAATAGCGTCTTTCTAGATGCTGCCCTTGGTTTGTTTCCCGCTGTTACCTCTTACGACATCCACGAAACAATATAGGTTAGCGGATTCATGGCACATTTTTTTACCTATTATAAGCCATTTCTTGACCACAATGTACATGTACTACATGTTTTATTATTAAATGCAACACAGTATGTTGTTTTGATTCCTAAATTAATTGTATAGTTGTAGCACGAATGGATCGGCTCGGCCGGGGAAGGACCACGCTCTCACAGAATACCATCGTCAAATAGCGGTTTCATGCTGCTGTGTTTCATATGGTGAGTGTAGGGAACCGGAGACCCTTTTTAATGGAAAAGAGGCATTCCATCTTAGTCCTCAAGGTTGCCAACGCATCTTCATTTTGATTCGCCGATTTGAGGGCCACAGCAACCACTTACTATCTGGTGGACTGTGTGCTCGCTTGTCACCCTTTTCCTATAAAAAAGTTTAATTTTCAAAGTAGTTAAAACGCTACTTACCAACGGGTCCTGACTTTAAATACCAGCCGAGACTAGCATTAAAATGCGTGGTAGTGCCACGCTGTAGTTTATAATGGTTTCAGCTTGAAAGCTTCGGCTCAGATGGTGAAAGGCTATCCTCGCTCATACTGATTATCAGCGTGAAATAGAGACATAATGTTACGGTACTTCGTATTGTGAGTGATGAGATCTGGAAGAGCGTTTTTCTGATAACGAGGCATTTCATCTTAGTCCTCAGGTGTGACAACATATCTGCATTTTAATGCTTAATACAGGGTTAATATAGGTTCCATGAAAGACAGAATCCACTTACCTCCCTACCTCCCTTTATCACCGTCTCTTCTCTAAAAAGACATTAAAGAAAACACGCAAATGATTTCTTATATTTACGAGAAGAATACACATTAAATAACATTACTTCCACAGATTTTATCGAGCTTCATTGCTTACTGATTACGAGTACTTTATGACATACGATGGGGGACACTATCATTAGACGACGCAGTACAGCCTGATAAGATCACCACACTGATTTCAATTAAAAAAATGAAGTGACAAAAGAAAACAGTCTACCAAATGGTAAGTGGCTATTACAGCCTATTGATATCTGAAACAAACTTCAAACAAAAAAGGCTATAGAGGCGTTGTCACCACTGCTAGCACCACAATATAGCGTCCCTAACAGTCTGTAATTATATTAAATCTCTATTCCATTTAGACTGGAACAAAGTAGTTCAAGCGCTGTTATTTTATGACATAATGAGGTAAGAGTGCGGTTCTTACCCAGACGGTGGGAATGTCAGATCGGAAGATCAAAATATCTGGATAAATATTTCAAAATGTCGGAATTTTGGGGTTGTTGTCGGGAGAAAAAAATGTTATAAAAAATGTAAAATAAAAAGTTATTTTTTTTTAATTTACGTAACATCGTTGACACTTAATTTTTAGGTTGCTACGTGTATTTGGCATCGGACTTTACTGAGTCCACCAATTTGGATCCTTTATTAGTATTCAGAAAAGATTTAAAACTCAAAGAATTTACTTCAAAGTTCAGTCTAATTACTAACTCAAATTTTATTAAATCAAAAGCAGCTGTGATGTGTAGAGAAGCTGTGTGTCTAGAGATTTTAAGTTTTGTCCGGAGTCTGGAGATCGTTTTAAATATCGGGAGAATCCAGACGAATCCCGACCATCTGGCAATCCTACCAG